TGCTATGGTCGCTAGTTTATGTTTGGTGTTGTCATGGTCATTTTAGACTGTGTTCTAAAATCTAAATAGAAAGATCAAAAGTTTGTCAGCTAGAAATCCATGTTAGAAATGAAAAAAAAAAGCAACAAAGAGTGGTCACGAGAAACGTTTGGAAAAAAAGAAGAATGAATTGAAAGAGGCTGCCACTGCAAGTGGCCAAACATCGCTACTCTCCTCGTTTGGATTTACCAAATCAAACACCAGCAGTCGGCCTAAGACTGCCAGTCCTATTGATAGCGAATCAACAAGCGATCAAAACTCATCAACTGCAGTACCCGTTGCTGAGGTGAGTACAGCTTCTGACTGTTTCATCGATTCAATGAAAGATGATAAAAACGTCAACGAATATTTTCTTAATACTCAGGAAAATTATGTCATTGACGATGTCGATAGTGATGATACTCATGCAGACATAGGCCATGGCCTTGGCCTTGCTGACGCCGAAACTTCGAAACCAGACAGTGCCTCGTCAAAAATCGATTCCACAGATGATCGTTGGTACAAAGGCAAAAAATTAGACTTGAATTGGCTGCTTTTAGCTGAATCTTGCCTGGAATTAAGTAGGGAAGAACAGAAAGGACAAAAAAACGACGACGTCCCGTTGTCACTTGCTTACTTTGCAGCAAGTATGAACCTGAAGTGAAAAGGTATGCCACTAATGGACGAATACCAGTTGCCAGTGGAGTCCGGGTTGATGGGAAAGACAGACTGTGTTTACTTGTTGATCATTTGCTTTCCTCTGCTCACAATGAAGCATTAAGATTGAAGAAACTTGAAGAAGCGTGGAATCTCTCGTCAGACAGTCATCCTTGGGTCAAAGTTATGAAACAATGCAAAATACAAACATTAGAGTTTCTTTTACGAATGGCTGTTGATGTTTACAATGATTGTAGAACGGAAACACTCAGTGCAAGAAGTTGGCCATCAAGGTCTTTGGCAACTGAACATAGCAATGCTTTACTCCATAATTTTGAGACAGAAGGATGACACACAGATTTTGTTCCTTTTAGTCAACCAAGCTCTGTATACCATTATAGGGATCCAGTAACCTATGCAGCAATGAGAGACATAGTTGCTAAGCAAGAGATGAAAAAAACTGCTGATGTATTAAAAGATTATCTGTGCTTTTCTGTTCAAATTGATGGAAGTGCTGACAAGCAGCAGGTTGATTCTAAATTTATAACAGCAAGGTTAGTCCCAACGAATGAAGTGAGTGTGAAGACCGTTTTTCTTGGCATCGCCAGCAGTGATTTAGGAGGAGCTGAAGGACTTCTTGATTCATTTATTTCGTGCTTGAAAAGTGTTGGTGTGGAGACAGAGAAGCTTGTTGGAGTCACCACTGATGGAGAAAAAGCAAACACAGGCAAAAACGCAGGATTATGGACATTGCTCAAACAACATATTGGCAGGGATATCTTGACAGCGTGGTGTGTTTGTCATCGTTCACATTTGGCCCTTGAATCTGTTCAATCTGAGGTCCCTGAACTCCATCTCTGGATGGCTGATGTTCTTGCTCTTTCGACATTCTTCCACTCATCCCCACGTCGCACAAAGTTGCTGCACAAAGAAAATGATCAGGCTCTTGCTTTTCCAAAGCATTTTGAGGTCAGGTTTGCAGAGCACACTTTGAATTTGCTGAAAGCAATTTTGAATAACCTGGAAGCAGCAAGAAGGCTTTGGACAAAAATGACAGATGGAACCATAAATTCGGACAGAAAAGAAAGCTCGTCTGCAAAAGGATTTCTTATGAAATGGGGCAATGGCACACAGCAAGTGTGGTTGACCACTGTTATGCATGATCTGTGCAAAATTTTCAAGAACTTACAGAAAATTTTTCAAAAATCTGACCTCATTCTACTGGATGTATTAACAGCCAGGGATGCAGCTATTGTCAACCTGAACGTCATGAAGGAGATGCCAGTGCCTGGTGGGCAGGAAGAGAAATACTTGAAGAACTTAAACTCAAGTAAAGAAAGCAGTGGAGAAAGAAATATCAGAAAAACCAGCCAGGCTCATAGGTTTGTCACATCACTACGCAGAGAAGATGGTCCAATCAGAGTGGAAATTGTTCAATCAGCAATAAACTTTCTAGACCAGCGCATGAACATTGAGCAAGATGAAACAATCAACAATTTAAAAAAGATATTGGATGCAAGTTCACCAGCGCAGATGATAAATGCCAGCAGAGATCTTGTGAGCCAGATATTTGGAGAGGACAAGGTTGAAGAGTTTGTCTCTGATGTCTGCATGTCATGGACAAACCTAAGCAAAGTTCAAGTCTATAGCCAGATAGAAGATTCTGGCACACTCTATGCATTGAAGCTGAGAAAAATGACAGAGGCCAGCATTGGTTTGCTCAGAAAATTCCTTGCTTCCTTCCTCACCTTGACACCACATAGCATGGCAACAGAGAGAGCTGTCTCCCATTATAATAATATCAAAATATCCAGCAGAGCATCACTAAAGCCAGAATCAATTAACAGCTACATGCATGTCTCTCTCAATGGCACAGGGACTGCATATTTTGACCCAAGACCTGCAGTTTTCGAATTTCTCAAGAGCAAAGACAGACGTAAAGGCCGGTTTACACGATCATATTCAGGTCACATTTGCATCACATATTTTATGTGATCACAGAATGTGATCGTGTAAACGACCTTACAAGTTGCTTGAAGTTGCACGAAGCAGCAAGAATTAATCCTTTTTAATTGCCTGTTAATTCGATGTCACAGATTTTTCATTTGACTAGCGATCAAATGGAAATGTCTGTGATGCAATTTTTTCAAAGGCGCCGACAAGTCTTTGCTGTCCTGGGTAGATCGGGAACTGTTTGGCGCGCATTTTATCAGTGATCTGCCTTCATGGGAAAGAATATGTATGGCCAGTTTGTCAGGGAAATGCCAGAAAATGTCGATAAGGAGAAAACATGGCAGTGGCTATCAAAAAGTGACTTAAAAGTCCAGACAGAGGCTTTATTGTGTGCTGCCAAAGAACAGGCAATTAGGACTAATTACGTAAAGCATCACATCAACAAAAGTGTAGATAGTCCTCTCTGCAGGATGTTTGGAGAAAGAGGGAAACTGTGCAGCAGTGAGCGGATGTGAAAAACTTATGAGGGGAACTGTCCAGCATATCGTGAGCGGATGTGAAAAACTTGCGCAAAAAGAATACAAAAGAAGGCATGAAAATGTAGCGAAGAGAGTCCATTGGGAACTGTGCATAAAGAATGGTCTTGAATATCGAGAGAACTGGTATGAACATGTTCCTGAAGGTGCTGTAGAAAATGATAGTGTGAAAATACTGTAGGATATCAAAATACAATGTGACAATATTATTGAGGCAAGAAGACCATACATTGTCCTAGTTGATGAAAACAACAGAATTTGCACCATCATTGATATAGCAGTACCAGCGGATGTCAGGGTGGCTGAGAAGGAAAGAGAAAAGATTGGAAAATACCAGGACCTGAAAAGAGAAGTTACACGGTTATGGAATATGAGAAAGATTCAAGTTATACCGGTAGTTATAGGAGCCCTAGGTGTCTCAAGAGAATTTGAAAAATGGACAGAAAGTCTTAAAATTCCGTGCATTACAATTGAAATGCAAAAAACTGCCTTGTTAGGAACGGCTAGAATTCTAAGAAGAGTCTTAGACATTTGAATAAAGAATAAAGATGAAAGCCCTCCTGTTAGGCCTTGGTTGTTAGTTATGACTCGTCTAGCAGAAGTGAAACGGCAATAAGATCAGCCAGACCACAAAGGTTGAGGAAAAATAATAATGGAAGCTTTTCATTTTCAATTCAATTAAAACTACAGTTACAAATTTCACTATTACAAAGGTAATTTGCAATTGGCTAGCCTGGGTTTACAACGAAAAAGACTATTACAAGCACAAACAAAAGAAATTAACAAAAAAAAGGGGGAAAGTGTGTTCGTCATTGTTTGTTTTAGAAGTTGCAGTAGCAGAGATCGTTAGAATTGAAGAAGTTCAAGATTATTCCAAGACTTATTTCTGCGGCAGAAAATTTAATAGGTAGTACGGATAGTTAAGTTGGATAGTTTGGAGATCATGAAGCGGAGATGATTCTCGCTGATATCTAGAGCGTTGCACATGTCGATGAAAGAGGAGCAGGAGAGACCAAAGATACCTAGGGAACTGATAGAAAGATTAACAAACATGATAGAGGAATAGGCTGAGCTTAGGCTGTGAATGAGATTCGAGTATTTCTCTCTTTTGCGGTTAGCATTAACATCCAAGTTAG